TACAATGTGGACAATACAGCGACATGGGTGGAAGTAATTAGTGTCAGAGGACTGCTGAATCTGATTAAACGAGCAACTTGGCTATCTAATTAGGTAGATGGATAGGTCATGATACATGGAATGGAGTCATGGACGAGAGCGACAATCTCCACCTCAAGTCGTTTGTCTCGTCGGTTGATCAATGTACTAAAAGTCGTCACATCCAGGGGTAGACACATTGGATTCGTTGCTAGGTTCCGGGAATTCAGGCAGATGATTGAGTTTCTGAAGAGGCTTGTATGCACGCCGCGTTCCAAATGTATTAGACAAATTTGAATCGGACAAACGTAGGAAACGAGGCTAAAGGACAGACATCACCAGTTAGGAACATTGACAGGCAAGGCAGCCAGGCTATATATACAAGAATGGCATCTAGATGAGATATTCTGTGCTATAAAAAGCCGAATAGTCGATGTTTAAAGAGCACTGCCACCGCTAAGGAACGGTAGCCAGAACTTGTTGCCTTCAAGCTTCACTACTCGCCTTGGATCCACGAAGGCGTCGTCAGCAATGTAGGTAGTAACAGCCCGGATATACCGAAGGGCGGCACTCCGATGGCACTATGGGTATTGCTGAGCGCAGTTGCACATGTGGACAAAATTCTCCGCAGCAGAGCCACAGGATCCGAGAGCCTCTGCCCTCTGCAATAGATAATGGAGATGGCAGACAGTCAGTAACCTTGTCCTGCCAACCTTCAGCAGTTCAGCCTTTCAGCCCTCTTTGGGCGCTTTGGCCAGGCAGTGCTCTGGGCGGGTCACGTTTTCAGGCCGTCAGTCCTAAGATTAAGCACCGGCCTGATTTGCCAGGCATCTAGCTCGTTCTCTGGCGGGTCCAGTTTATTATTGTCGACTTGGCTCAGCTTCCCCTTAAACACTTCTTCCCCCGCTACCATCACTACCTCGCTAAACCACCGGCTGTCCAGCCTTTATATACCCTTTCCAGGCCACTGTTCAACCAGCTCAACACTTTACATTTTTCTCGTCGCTGTCAACATTCCCTCTTTTCACCATGGTATGCGTTCTCGTTCAATCGCCTTGTTGAGTCCTGCTGAAAGTCCCCCACTTTGCGGGGCAGATCGACTGGTATTCTGGACAAAAAGTTGCTGACATCCAACTGTTTAGGCCGACTCTTTGACTGAGGAACAGGTTTCCGAGTACAAGGAGGCTTTCTCTCTCTTCGTAAGTGAATTGTTTAGCCCCTAGTCGTTGCATAAGAGGAATTTCCGCAATATTGAGAGTGTGCGCTCACGCGAGATTCGGCCTATAGGACAAGGATGGTGATGGTTAGTGACCTTTTTTCCACTCCTCGAACGTCGGATTCCTCGCGATCATGTTCAAATGCCAACTTACAGTATCCGGAAATGACCCATCAATACTGACAATATCTATGTTTGACTATTAGGCCAGATCACCACCAAGGAACTGGGCACTGTGATGCGCTCCCTGGGCCAGAACCCTTCCGAGTCAGAGCTGCAAGATATGATCAACGAGGTGGATGCTGACAACAATGGCACCATCGATTTCCCTGGTATGCGGATGCATCTAGCGTGACCCTGGGAGGGAGGAGAACAATCATTAACTCGTATTCAGAATTTCTTACTATGATGGCTCGGAAGATGAAGGACACCGACTCCGAAGAGGAAATCCGGGAAGCCTTCAAGGTCTTCGACCGTGACAACAACGGTTTTATTTCCGCTGCGGAGCTGCGCCACGTTATGACCTCTATCGGAGAGAAGCTCACTGATGACGAAGTTGACGAGATGATCCGCGAGGCGGATCAGGACGGTGACGGTCGGATTGATTGTATGTTGATCAAACAGCTTTCCTTGGTCAGACCCCGATTTACATGGGACATTTTGCTAATTGTTTGTAGACAACGAGTTCGTTCAGCTCATGATGCAAAAATAAGCGTTTTGTTCGGCTGTTCTGTTCATTCTTAGCTAGTCGGGTGTCAATGCATATATCCACTGTTCCCATCTGATCTTCGTTGCTATTACGACTGTAGCTGATAGATATGGAGTATGGATCGAGGTTGGCTTTTACGACCTTTCTGCTTGAATCTGTTGGTTCGCCTGTGGAGACGCCGAGATGATTGTTCTGTCTCTGACTTAAGCAATTTGGGTAATTGATGAAAGGTCTCAGTAGGACAGTAGATGTCTGGTTACTTCCACATATTCTGTGTGATCGCCTCGTTTGTCTCCTAATGGCTCTTTGCTCGCATTTGATCATCACCATACCTGAATTCTACTCATGATCTGAGTGCTCTCGGGCATTCAGACATTGCATTCATCTGTTAAACCTGAAAATCTCCATAAACTGTCTAGCTAGGTCCGTTCCCGCATCCGGGTCCGGGTCATCGTCCTGGTGTAGGGCGTGATCCTCATTCCTTGGTGCCGTCTGTCCCTTGTTCTCTTGTAATTTTAATTTCTTCAACTGCTCTTTCACCTCTCTGCCAACATCTGGTACAAGGATCGCTTCTCGCGCTCCCTCGATCCCCAGCTTGGCCCAGAACTCCCGGATCAGAGCTGCAGTTGCAGAGTACTCCGCATCGATATCCGCGTCCTCTATACCGCTGAAGAGCGCGAGGTCGATCCCCGAGTCATGGTCATTATCCAAAACATCGGTGGCCCCACTTAGATTCAACCCTCGTTTAGAATGTACGTATTGAGCGGAGATTGAAGTCACCAGCGACGGGCCCCTGTATTCTATCTCCACGACTGTGCCTCGAACCCGGGCCGCGGGCTGCGTCTGCCGCACGTCGCCGATACGTAGTCGGAAATCGCCGACATCGTAGACCATCCCTCCCGGTACAGCTACTGTATGTCGATGGCACCAGAAGGGTTGGCAGGCGTAGACGAAATGCTTAAACAGAGATCCGGAAGAAGGCAGAGGCACGGTGGTCATAACCATGTCTGAACCGCCAGCTCCGGCGGTGTTGCTTGGAGTGGCTGAACCCGAAGCTGAGGTGAGTCCAGGCTGAGGAGTAGCAGAATTCGGGACGGGATTGTGCCCTGTCTTCTCGGGACTGTGGGATGTGTAGATGAATCCGTGATTGGGATAGTAAGATAATGACAGAAACTGCATGTACCGGGGTTGAGCTTGTCGCTGGGGCCCTGATCCAGGCACGCAGGAGGGAGTATCCCTCATCAACTTATGCTCCAGGGCCCATCGGCCTATTGCGACAGGCTCCTCTGCAACGGCGGAGTGCAGCCGTTCTGTGATGGTCGTGAGTGCTGTGGACGCATTTGGGTTTGCGGGAATGAAGAACACGCTGCACAAGCAGTTAGCATTAGATGGCTAGAACCAGAACTCGAGACACGTCTACCCTGTGATAGGCATCGTATGATTATGCCACGAGGCAAATTATGAATCAAAGCAAAGTGGATTAAGTATCAATCTTCGAGTGACAATTCTGTCGCAATATCACCCAAACTGATTATAAGGAAATGGATTCTGAGTAATAGAAGTTTGCAGTGCCGAGAAAAGTGTTCAAAATTAGGCCACTGTAGAGAGCATCCAAAAGATCAGAGTAATGAAACGCCTTCAGAACACCAAAGTAGGACCACTCTTGAGGATTCACTACACTATTGTTAGTATGGACAAAGCAGTGGTCTACTTGCATTGCGGCTCAATGGTACTTAGCCTACCTTTATCATACAAATAGCAAATGATATTAATTTCTAATGATCTCCAGCAGGAGTATGTTCACGAGCAAAAGGAGAAGGTATATCCAAGTAATGCAATGGCGAGGACTGAAGAAATGGCTTTATTGATCTGTATGGAGACTCCGATGCTAAATCCCATCGATGTCGTCTACATGTCGAGGCAACAAGGCACCAATACATGCAAACCATGCAAACTGGTTGAAAAAAGACCCTCCCTTGAAACTCAACGTTTCACAATTCTTTGCCAACCAAGGTATTATTTCGAATGAATGAATCTCATCTTACTACACAAGATTATGTTTCCTTATTTGCTCTATTATCCCCCAAGTTCTGGAGGTATTTGTATAAGCTGAAGCAGAAACTGACATGCGATCATGCCAAGACGCGGACCAAGAGAAGACGGAATTTGGCTGTCTTGGATTGTTAGAGGGCCAAACACTGGAATAGAAATTATCTCCACCCGCTAGAGAGGCCCGGGCTTAGTTTGCTTTTCCCATAGCTATCTAACTATGACTGGTAGTCTGTTCGAGGTATCAAGGGTTTGGGGGACCACCGGCTTACGCAATGAGGATACCAATCCACTTTGATTTGCACACCTATTGTCCTCCTATTCGACACTTCTTTCTCGATCAGCTTGGACGGTGCAGGAACAACATTGCCACGCCAATCTCGCGGGCCCCTTATTTCCACTGCATGCCGATCTCTACTCAGGGTCTTCAGCATACCCATACTCCGTAGACAGGTACAGGAATTTGAAGTCTGAAGGGCTCAAAGAATGAGGATGCGCGTTTCCAACTTCTTGTAAGCAGGCCTAGAAATCAATCATGCTAGAAGCTCCTTGCAGTGCTGACTTAGACAGTCATGGCAATCAATCGCCAGATTCGTCCGCCAATAATCACTATCTGTTTAATAGACGGACTCCCAAGGGTTTATTAAAAGTTTTAAAACAAGGGCGATCATGGCCTAGAATAATTCCTGAGTAGCGGCCCTGACAGGCTATTCTCCACTTTCACAGGGAAGCTGTCGTGTGTACATTAGTACGGCGGCTGGAGCTTCCCCCTCCCTTACTCCGTACTCAAGCTTCATTCTCAATAACCTCCGAATGTTGGCCTTTCTCGTTGATTTCCGACATTCAACATCTGTCAAGCAACTTTGCCTTGGCCATGCTGCATCAAGACCGCCTGATGCTGCCTCCTCGTTTCGCTATTGACTGATTTTCCAGCTTAGAGAAGCTCGGTCCTCTCATTATCTCCACAGCAGCTGTCCCTAGTCGGGGGAGCACCTCGTCTTCAGCGCTATGATACTAGGTCGCAGGCGCTATCGCTATGCCTTACCAACCATTATTCTAATTCTCGTTACCTTCTTTCTTTTCTCGAGTCTACCGCCTGGCGCGGAGCCTCCCTTTGACGACCACTCATACTACGCAGAGTACCATCCCCAACCCCCGCAGAGCGATGACCGTATCCATTGGACCAAACATACAGAAAGATATCCTGTCTCCAGTTTTATTCCTCTCCCTACGCCCGCGCCGTCCGCAATCCCTCGTGTCCAGTACGACTTCGCGAAGGAATCATGGTTTGGCCGAAGGAAAAGAGTGAACAGACAGAAAGCCGTCAAGGAGGCCTTTACGCATGCTTGGAAAGGGTACAAGAGGCATGCCTGGCTGCGCGATGAACTTTCGCCCCTCAGTGCTCGCTACCGAACCACGTTTGCTGGCTGGGCTGCCACTCTGGTGGACGCACTTGACACTCTCGTCATTATGGGTATGGACGATGAGTTCAAGGATGCGTTGCATGCCATTGAGAGCATTGATTTTACTACCACCGATGCCACCCAGATCAATATATTCGAAACTACTATCCGATACGTAGGGGGGTTACTTGGCGCCTACGACCTAACCAACGGAAAACACCCGATCCTTTTGAAGAAGGCAGTGGAACTGGCCGACATGATCTACGATGCCTTTGATACTAGCAATAGGATGCCTCAGTCACGCTGGCAATGGAGCAGGTAGGCTGGCCATTGCTTCTGGACCACCAAAGCTGCTGTTAACTAAGCCATAGATCCGCGCAAGGCCTGAGCATTCAGCCAAGCAAACAAACTATCCTTGCCGAATTAGGTTCCCTGAATCTAGAATTCACCAGGCTGTCTCAGCTGACCCATGATCCCAAGTACTTCGATGCTGTCCAACGAATTACAGACATTCTCGACGACGCTCAGAATAAGACCAAAATCCCTGGACTGTGGCCTATGATGGTCAACGCTCAGGATTTAGAGTTTACAGACCCTCGCTTTACTGTGGGCGGAATGGCCGACTCAACGTATGAGTATTTACCGAAAGAGCATATGCTACTAGGAGCCCAGACGAATCAATACCGCAAGATGTATGCCGCCGCCATGGAGGCGATCAAGAAGCGCTTATTGTTCCGGCCCATGACCAAAGATGGTGAGGATCTTCTCTTCGCCGGGAACATTCACACGAGTCTCGCAAGCAACTCGCCCCCTGAGCCTCAGTGGGAACATCTGAAATGCTTTTTTGGGGGCACTGTGGGTATCGGGGCCAAGGTCTTCAACCGCCCGGAGGAGCTCTCGATTGCAAGAAAGCTAACAGATGGTTGTATCTGGGCATACAACGTCATGCCCACAGGGATCATGCCGGAAATTATGCATCTCAGCCCTTGTCTGAGCATGGATAACTGTGAATGGGACGAGCAGAAGTGGTATCAAGATGTCCGGCGGCGACTGGCCAAGGGATCAAAGGCGAAAGACACTGTTCAAGAAGCCAAGACAATCATCAAGGAGAGTGGGCTTCAACCTGGCCTAACTGAGATATCGGACCCTAGATATTTGCTGCGGTATGTGATTTGCTGATAATTGTTTTCCGTCTTGCATCGGGTGCAGTAGTGCTGATCTTGGCTCTAGACCTGAGGCGATCGAGTCTGTTTTCATCTTGTACCGCATCACTGGGGACAAGAAATTGCAGGACGATGCATGGAGAATGTTTCAGAGCATTGACAAAATGACTCGGACCAAGTATGCCCATGCTGCAATTGAAGACGTGCGGGACTCGAAGGCAAACCAGTTAGATTACATGGAGAGTTTCTGGTTAGCAGAGACCTTGAAGTACTTCTATCTTATCTTCTCCGAACCAGATCTTGTCAACTTGGATGATTATGTGTTGTATGTGCTGATGTCTTGTGAGGAGTTTTGGCCAAAGCTAACGATCAAGCAGGAATACGGAAGCGCATCCGTTCAAGCGTCCCTCTGCTCGTACATAGATTTCTCAGTCAAACCCTTCCTTTGCATCTCAAAATATCGGGCCTTGTGCTTTGGCATGGTTAGGTCGCGTTTTGCTCATGGGAAATGGTCTAATCATTCTATTTACGGATTACAAGAGGGCCAACCTAGAGCATTCACTCTAGTATCCAGTTGGGCTCCTAGACTATATAGAATTCACTGGTGAATTAACATTAAATTATCATTCGGTCTTTATATATGGTACAGTGTCGTATTATGACTCGTTCGTTACATAAGTATCCCAGTACTTTGCATCAGGATTAACACCCGAGTCTGGTCTTTTCCGCTTATACTCAACCGAGTACTGCACGTCCTTTCGGATGATCATCTTCGAGGTCCCATCACTTCCTGCACTGGTCAACCCCTTCCGCTCCGCCAGCTCAATAGGCGGCGATAAAGGCGCAATCGTTGACCCCTCGGTACCGATCCCCCCAGCAGCCAAACACTTCTCAAGGTCAAGGTCTCCCGCATGCCCAGGCTTTGCCGCCCGACGCTCCCACAAGAGCGATCGCCACGTCCTCCTCTCCTCGCCGCCCAAGGGCCCGATTCTAGACTTGGATCCGGAGCTGTTGTCCTTGGGCGTCTGCGATGAAGACCCCAAGCTGCTCTTCAGGTTCGAGTCGCCCGCCGTGCCATAGTTTGTGCTCACAGCCGCCATGAAGGGCCGCAGGCAGAACACGCTGCATGCGATCAGGGCGTAGTTGAGCTCTACCTGTGACCAGATCTTGGATGTGACGATTGAGAGGGTCGGGTCTGGAGAATGGTAGTGGCCTTTTAGGGTGTAGATGTGGAAGATGGTGAACATGATCAGGCTGGATTAGTTAGAGTGAGAATTTGAATTTGAACTGTGTGTATAGAATGGGAGGTGTTGGGCTAAGGGCTTACGGKAGTCGGAAGAGAAAGGCAGAGCCGATTTGCAGTTTGCGTTTGAGAGGCATGAAAAGGCCCTGGAGGAGGGTGACTGCCAGGGCGAAGAGGATGAGTTCGGTAACGATGTCCATTGCTGTTATGAATTCCCATCGTTGGAGCTGGATGTGTGTGAGTGAATAGAATAGTAGGGACGTGCTCTCAGAAGGACGTGGCTCACCAGGTGGCGGCATTGGCCTCCTGATGTCTTCCAGGGGCGGTTCATTTCACAATTGACGGCGAGGATGAGTGCGCTTGGGATAATCCATAACGTGCATAAGATGAGAGTTGCCCAGGAGATTCGGTTGTGGGTCTTTTGAGGCGTCAGCCGGAGGTAGATGCCCACGACGCAGCATTTGGAGACGTAGATGGTGACTAGGTAGAGGACGTCGCTTATTGTGATCAACTGTAGCTTGTGAGAGTTGAGTCTTGGGTTACGTGACTTGCAGGCTCCCTTACTGTCTGGATCCTATTGATTTGCTCTTGCGCCAGCAGGCTGATCGAGGTCCCGAATCCTTGAGAGGCAGCTACAAAGATCAGTGTGGACTGGGCGATAGCAACAACCTGAATATGAGAGAAGTCATTAGCCTGTGATTTGACCCTGGAAAGGTTGGGCTCAAAGCTTACCGTTGCCCCAAGAAGAACGTAGTCATCATACGCAAAGGGAGGACTGAGAGCCAGTCGCACATACACCCGGATGAGAAGACAAACTAACGAAACGACCAGCCCGAAGGCGGCGGTTATAATTATCCAGGCGCCGTGATGCAGGTCATCCACCACCTGGAATGGTGGTGACTGTCCTGGAGGAACATACGGGCCCATAGCAGCATGAAAGCCGAGGGAGATGCTCAGCTGAAGACGGGAGGGGAATATATGTATTCCAGAGCAAACCCTCACAATGCTGGCAGCGGTCGAGTTTTATTCCTCTGCAGCGAATTTGATTCGATGCAAGTCTGGCCAGAAGCATAGTCGTTCCTATTTGATAACCATTATCTGAGCCAAGGGGAGTATCCATCAGGTATGTGATGTGCACTCAAAGACGGTGTCGTGGCTGGCAGTAGCAGCATGGCACATTTCTTTTTGGGTCTCGGAACTGACCGGTGTCACAAACATCATTGTTTTCATGCAAACCCCCACTGAAGGATGGGTGCAGAACAAGAAAAAGGCAAAATTCGAACCCAGTTCCGTCAAGCATGAAGGTGTCGATACTGGGACAGGATCATCCATCCCAAAACTGGAGGACTCGAGCAGAAGAAGGAAGGGGGGTAACCATGTGGGAAAAAAAATGACTCAGTTTCCAAGCAGAACTGACGCGAGGGGCGAGACATTATTTTCGACTGCCACGGGGCAATTGTGCTTGACAATGTGAATGACCACAGCGCTTGGACGATCTACCAAGCCTCATCTCACCGAGAGATTAAGCTCTACCGAGGGGCTTGCATTGCCAGGGTGGTCGGTGGCTGCAGTAACGGTGTGCCCTTTGAAAGGAGGCCGCACGGTTTAATGAAGCCCAGTCACTTCCATTACCGAGCTTGTTTCTGTTGCAGGAGTATCTACTGTTGTGATGCCGAATACTCTTGTCGTCCTTGAGTTCCGGAGCAAAAAGATGACCCAGTGTGGACCAAGGGATCGCCATGGCCCTGTGATCACCATTTGCGCGCGTTACACAAGGGCTACGTGGGGATGAGCTTTGCCTGCATCTCTTTTCTTTCCTAAGCTTCGGGTCGTACATTCCTCGCCTCTGTCATCCTGCGAATGGGATGGATCGGGCGTTAACTATTTCCCAAAAGAATGTATCTGGCACAAAGTGCGGCATTGCATTTCTCGTCGAATCGAAACTCTCGTGGGTAGAGGGATGACATCTGGATTCGCTCCCACGTCTCGTTTGGCTGCACGTTTGTGGTGGTTCTTTTTGATCCTTGGCGTTATGCAAGGTGCCTTCAGAAAAAAGCAAAGCACGATAACAACTCAAATTGCAATCAATTGATCGCCAGCGGGTCCGGGAAAGTGCACTATTGCTTACCCTTGTATACCTGCTTGGACCATGTCTGGTAGGGATGTGCGATTATGCAATGTTGCACTGGCAAGTCCCATCGATTATTTCGCCTCTCCTCTCCTTCCCACATGGCTGGGTGTCTTTCTGCTCTCCTTGCTTTTGGCGTGATGACCATTGGTCGATCATTCTCAGTGAATACTGTAAAGCATTCGCTTTCTTGTTTGAGGCAAACGCACCAGCCGACTCGCTATTTCTCTTCATCAGAAAAAGAGTGCTCCTTCCTCTGTACCTGAGCTGTATGCCGCCAACTTGACTTGCATGCTGAGTTTTTAGCATCAGTATCTGACTAGCTTTCAGTGCTCTCTCATCTGCGGTCCTCATGGCGCCTCAAGATACCCATCTCGGGGAAAGTAAAGCGAAATGCCGCGAACAGGATGATGTCGCTCAGGAGGCCGGGTACCCTGTGAAGGGTCTTGTTGCCCCGAAGTACATGGGCACAGTTGCAGATCAACGAGACATGAGCGCGTTAGGGCGAGTGCAGGTTTTGAGGGTTAGTTGGTGAGGTTTGCTCATTTAGGAGACTTTCTAACAGACCTCCACCAGAGAAATTTCCGCTTCATCTCCATTCTTGGGTTTGGCTGCACGCTGATTTCAACGTGGGAAGTCATATTGACGTCAGTTCATCCTGCATTTCCCAGTGACCAAAGCAACTGACTCCGGAGTTGAAGGCTGTTGAGCTCCGCCTTGACTGACGGGGGCACTGCAGGGTTGATATGGGGCTTTCTCATTGTCACAGCAGGATTTGCCCTCGTTTTCGCAAGTATAGCGGAAATGGCTTCCATGTGAGTGTGTCTTTTCACCCTGGATCAAGCTCTTTTTGACCGTTTTTAGGGCTCCGACCTCCGGGGGTCAGTACCATTGGGTTTCTGAGTTTGCTCCTCGAAGGGGCCAAAAGTTCTTGAGCTACATTACCGGTAGGCATCAAGGATCGGACGTTGCTAGGGCGAAACTGACGTTGGTAGGATGGCTCAGTGCAACCGGATGGCAGTGCGCTATCGTATCAATCGCTTTCCTCGCTGGCACGATCATACAAGGGCTGGTCGTCCTAAATGACCCAACCTATGAGTTTCAACGATGGCACGGCACATTGTTGGTGGTGGCAATAACGACATTTTCGATATTGTTTAACACATTCCTAGCCAAAAACCTACCCATGGTGGAAGGACTCATTCTGATCATTCATGTGGTAGGGCTGTTCGCCATCATTATCCCGCTCTGGGTTCTTGCTCCTCGAAACAGTGCGAAAGCAGTCTTTACAGAGTTTAATAATGCTGGAGGATGGAATAGTGATGGCACTGCCACTCTGGTCGGTCTCTCAACCACTATTACAGCCATGATAGGCTATGACTGTTCGGTACACATGTGTAAGTGTCATGTTTTCTCTTCTGTCCTCAAGAAGTATTACTGAACCGATTCCAAGCCGAGGAAATCAAGGACGCAGCGGAGACGCTGCCGAAAGCAATGATGTCAGCCGTCGCGGTCAATGGTGTTTTGGGATTTATCATGATTGTCACTCTTTGCTTCACGCTAGGCGATGTTGATAGCATCTTGCGTACTCCCACTGGTTTTCCGTTCATCCAGATCTTCTACAACACCACCAACAACTACGCGGCAACGAACACAATGACCGCGATCTTGGTGATCACGCTCACGGCCAGCACAATCACTGAAGTCGCAACGGCATCCCGGCAGCTGTGGTCTTTTGCTCGAGATCAAGGACTGCCATTTTCATCATTCTTTGCCTACGTGAGTCTCACGCCACCAGGCTCCGCCAGGGTTCTAGCAGCGTTACTGATCGCTCGATGCAGGTCACCCCGGGATGGAATATCCCTCTAAACTCGGTCATGGTATCACTAGCGGTCACTATTCTTCTCTCCTTGATCAACATTGGCTCCCAGGTCGCCCTGTCAGCTATTGTATCACTGACAATCACCTCCTTGATCTCTTCCTACATTCTGTCAATAGGCTGCGTGCTCCTGAAGCGTATCCGGGGCGAGGGCCTGCCACCTCGCCGCTGGACCCTTGGCCGCTTCGGAATGGCCGTCAATATTGCCGCTTTGGCTTTCTTGATTCCCATCTTCGTCTTTTCCTTTTTCCCGTTGACGGAGACAGTAGACACCAAAACAATGAATTGGAGTGTGGTGATGTACCTTGGTATGCTGGCCTTTGCGTCCGTCTATTACGTGCTCTGGGGCCGGCATAACTTCATTGCTCCCGTGGCGCTTGTGAAGAGAGAGGGCAGGTACTGCGCTTGAGATTTCGCATACACGAAACCCTGGTTGTTGATTTGTATTTATATTCTTGTTTTGTAGATTATGCTTTAGTGCAATGTGCATACATAGACGTTGTCACGTTGCCACGAATCTCACGATCGACTGGCGCGCTGGACTTCAACTAATTTTCGTTATGATAACAAGGCGGGTTACGTGCATTAAATGTCCGGGACGATTAGAGAAACAATGCCATCGATGTGCTGCGGCATTTTTAATACAATCTTTATTCCAGTAGCTGCTATTCCTAGCTAACAAAAGAATAATATTCTATGAGAACCATCATGAAACACCATTTCATCAGCTACAGGAGCTGTGATAGACTCCCGGGCTAGCCTACTCTTCCCAGTCCTATCGAGGACATCTTGGAAACATTAGCAGGACTCTGATCAGGCAAGATCATCGCTCTGCCGTTTCACTGATCCTTTGGCTGCGCAATTCACTCCTAAGCAGAAGGCAGTTGTGACCTATTTAAAGCAGCTGGAGAATCCCCACCCTGCTAGTCTCACCAGAAGGAGACTATTGCCCCTATTAAAGCAAGAGAAGCCACCGTAAGCCAGACCACTGGGTCAATGACCCAGCCGTAGGATCTGATAACTAAGTGACAAGTCAGGGGAATATCATTCGGATGAGATTCCTATTTGTCGATGGATTTGGCTAGTGCCTGAGGTCTATGGCTGATGGGCGAGATTTGCGTTAGTGGCGACTGGCGAGCACTATTGGTATTTACGAGTCGGGTGATGCCCTTGTCGTTTCGGGTTGTACGACTCTGTCGCGAGTTCAAGGAGTTGATGGATGAGATTGTCCGAGGTGATTTGCTTTGCTTGCGCGGTCGTGGATTTCCTTGAAAGCCTCGTACAGGCATTCAGATTAGCTAGATAGCATGTGGCTGTGGCCCAAATCCTTGGTTCCACCTTTATCAGATCAAATAGACTAGGTAAGGTGTGACTTCGTGCTCTGTATCCGTAAGGTACTTCGCTATCTGATTGATATGATCGAGTCCGACATCGGCATGTCCCCACTTTCGGAATTGACTGTCACATGAATAATAATCCATCACAGAGTACTCCGTAGTGTGCAGAGTAGAGTGAATGGCCTTCAGCGAATGATCTATCTGATGCGACTGCATGATAATAATAAACTCTATCAGTAATGTCAACCATCTGGATGTTCTTGGCAGAAACAGATATCCAGGTCGGTTGGCAAAGCGCATGTGCCCGGATCAGATAACCMACATACTCCGTACCGACCATCGGTTTTCAGCAGGTCCTCCATAAATCAGGTGGACGGAGTCAAATCCGCCTCCGTGGTGGGTATGTACAGTATAATCTGATCTTGGGCATACTGTGTACAGTGATATATCCAACTCATACGAGAGAAGAGAGCCAGGGTGCCATTTTAACCGAGGGCCGACGTATTTCTGCACAACAACAAGGGAAGATGGCGGCCGGATCAGATTAGATCGGTAAACGGTAAGGGGAACCGGCTGCGGTTGG